ATGTGTGTATGTATGTAATGAATGTATGTATGTATGTATGTATGTATGTATGTACGTACGTACGTACGTATGTATGTATGTATGTATGTATGTATGTACGTACGTACGTACGTATGTATGTATGTATGTATGTATGTATCCTCGGACTTCCCCTTTGCTCCCCAGTATTTCTCTCAAAAACACGTTTTTCCAGCGTATTCGCAAAGAGGTCCAAAAACACAGAGTTTTCAAGATTTTCGGCAAAAGGATGCAGGAAGCCCAAGCCAGCAAAAAGGCCGGCAGGGGGAATCGAGCCTGGGACCCCTGTTTGCGACACCGGCTCCCCGAAGACTACGTTTAGTGGAACGTCATCAAATTGCCGCGCGATACGTGGGCCCCCCTGTACGTATTTGACCCTTTAGTAAGTACCCGACACGCCGAGCAACGTCGGCGGACATGGGCCTTGCCCTGGGAGAGAAGCGCTGAATGGTTTAGACCTTGTGGACCCTGTTTGAGTGCTCAGTGACATCGTTTTGCTTTGCCCGCGAACGCCGCGGTTGCCTTCAGGCGCTGGCGGAGTTGCGCCGTCAGCTGCTGATGACGGATGTGCCCTATGCCACCTGGCTGAAGTCCGGGACGAAATTTGTTTTGGTGCAGGTGTTCAGGTATCCCTTAGTTGGAGGTTTGGATTGGCTTGGGATTTGAAGGTCTGAGGATAAATGAGCCGCCAATCCAAACCGTCAATTGGAGGGAAGCTGAAGTGTGCAGGTGTCTGAGGTGGCTCAAGGGTACTTGCTCCGCATCGGCGCATCCGGATCGGCACAGGAGCTGGATGGCGCTAAGAACCTGCCCGCCATGCTCGATGTGCTGGTGAACAAGCTTGAAGTCTTGGAGGACGCGGGAAACGTTTCACACGATTGACCCTTTTGTTCCCCTCGTTTGCAATACCGGGGCTTCAGGGTTTCAGGGTTGCAGCTGGCTGGTTGCTTCCTCCCACGTAATCTCCAGATTGCAGTTCTTCAAGACATTCTTTGCTTTGAGCTTAAGCTGAGGGGGTCATGTGCCATGTGTGCAGAGGTTACAAAAACCCTGTCCCTTTGGTTGCCTTGGTGTGGCCACATGTAGACGTCCCCTTTGGATGCCTGGATTAGAGTTGATGCCTGACAGGACTTCGGTCGCTGCACCATGGAGCTCTTCCGCCTAGGCTGACGGTGGGATCAAGCTTGATTTTTTCGAGGGAAATCTGCTCCCTTTGATCATCACATTCTTTCTGCACAATTTTCTGGCGAGCTCACCTGCAAGTAGGACCAGCTCACCTTGGGGATCCCTGATTTAAGGCTTTGCAATTATTGTAAAATTTGCGGCTCCTTTTATCCTTGTTGGCCTTGATCGCAGATTCCAGCGTCCACTTTTCAGGCAACTCGCCCCACACCTGACAGGCCACTTTGCCTATCGAATCAACCAGGAGGTGCTGGTGGTCCCGCCTGATGACCGGGCGAACCGCAGCGTCGCTGTTCCTTTCTTTTTTTCTTGATTTCTTTTCTTTTCTTCTTTTTTAATGTAGCCTTTCCTTTCTCTTTTTTGTTCCCATTTGTTTTTCTATTTCGCTTTCTCTTTCTCTTTTCCTCTTTTTGTTTTCTTTCTCTTTCTTTTTGTTATCTTATCTTTTTCTTTCTGTTTCTATTTTTCTTTATTCTTCTCTTTCTGCCTCCTTCTTTTTCTCGTTTATCTCTCTGGCTCTCTTTCTTTCTTTCTTTCTTTCTTTCTTTCTTTCTTTCTTTCTTTCTTTTTGGCTCTCTTTGTTTCCCTTTCTCCTTCGCGTTCGCTGTTTCTCTCGCTGCTCTCGCTCTCTTTCTTTCTGCCTGATTCCCTTCTTCCTTCCCTCTTTTGTCCTTCTCTCTCTCTCTCTCTCTCTCTCTCTCTCTCTCTCTCTCTTTGCTCGAGTGCTGCAGGTCAAGACCTCACGGAAAACCGTGCTTGTAGATGAACTGCCTGACTGCACGTGTTTAACCCCACTGCCGGACCAATGCGCACGACCTCTCCAGGACTCTCTGGAATCCATGGCGACCAAGCTTCAGGCCCGGGCAGTTGGGCAGTTGGGGGGGGGCGCAGACTGGATCAGAGCTTGGAATCTGGGAAAAATCATGTGAAGCGAGCGCTGCTTCTAGTTTCCAGTTATTCTTTTCAGGTCCACAGATTGGTCTACTCTGTGGAAGTTGATTGTTGCATGCAGCAGAATGCTCGAGAATCGCCCTATCAGAGAGACATTTTTGTGGAACCTTACACACACAACTACATGCATCACATCGCTGCGACTGATGCCACTGTTTAGACATGACTGATGGGAATAGATATTTGTCAATTTGGGGTTCGAGGTGTTGGCCAGACGCGAACAACGCGATGTCTTCAGTACTATGCCGGAGGGGAGAACACGCGAACACACAAACGTGGTGCGATGAGAAGACGGCGCGAAATAAGCCATTGCATGTTGGGTATATGTGTTTGTGTGTGACATGCACAGCAACTTGCATTCATGTTTTCGTCAGAGAGGTCAAGGATGGCATCTTCATGACAGAAGGCACTTCGTGCACCATCCTAAACAAGGAACATCCAGTAAGAGCGACTCGTCTGGCCCCTGGTCCCTGGCCCCTTACTTGCCCAAGGCATGTCCTTTGGAGCACGTTGCCAGGGCTTGCGGTCCATGCGAGTGATCCCTCGGTCTATATGGCCGTGGATCAAAAATAGGGTAACCCCAAATGGGTTGCCCTGGTAAGTGGAAACACGGACCAAACTCTGCGGTCCAATTCCTGTTGGTAATTCTTTTTGACCCACGCCCATATGTTGGGCCTTGGAAGGCCTTGCAGCAGCAGCTGGAGGACTGGCAGCAGGCGGTGAGCGACGCCCGCAGCAAGCATTACTTCCTGCCGGCCTGGCGCGAGCTTCCGGTTTTCTCTTGGTCGGCCGCGCGAGCGCTCTCTAAAGGGGAACGAAAGGAAGAAAAGGAAACCCTAAAGGTAGAAACCCAGAAAATGTACCACAATACATATGAGATGAAGTGAGCAAATGTCAAGAGCTGTTTCCCTGAACTAGATGGAGGTAACGAGGGGTGTTTGCTGTGTTTCGATGGACTGTCCATGACATGCCAGGAACTACTACACAGTGCGGGAGCTGTGCTTCCTGACAGACCTCCTCCCATGTGTTGATCAGCCAAAGGCAGGGCATCCTGGAATCCAGGGGAGTTGATGTGACGCTATGATAACTGAGAACACTGCTTCAACTGCTTGACGTCAAACGCCACCATTGGGTGTAGTGCATGATCTACAGTATTTTTCCACAGGGGGTCTTTCTATGCCAATGTAGCGACAAATAGGCAAACACCTCGCGGCCTCGCGTGGAGGAATGGGGCCAAGTGTGGCCTTTGCTGCAGTGCGTGGACCTCTCTGCAGATGAGAAGGTGACGCGTGATAAGATCAAGAAGGCGTTGAAGCGCCGCTCAGCTTGTGGCACGCTAGGATGGGGGCTGGGGGGGAGGGAGGGGGAGGGAGCTGAAAAAACCCTTATTAAGGCCTTGTTTCGGGCTTTCTTTGGGCTCCCTCCCCCTCCCCTCCCTCCCCCCCAGCCCCCATAACAAGAGAAAAGAACAAACTTGCCAGGGGAACTTGATGGCTAGGGAGGTGCTACCACTGTTGAGATGTTTGTATTTGCCTCGTCGCCTTTGTAGCTGCGTCAGCATTTCATCCGTTTGTCTTCTCATGCCCGCCCGAGGCGACTTGACCTTGCTGCGCAGCTCCAGCGGGGAGCCGGACAAAGAGGCAAGCCTCGAGCCACGGAGAGCGAGAGCCACGGTTTCGTTCCGTTCAGGTGCTAGTTGGGTGTGGGTCAAAATTAAGCCACCAGGGGACCGCAGGTTTTAGTCTTTGGTTCCATTTACCAGGGTTCCATTTTAGGTACCTATTTTTGACCCACAGCCAGTTGATCGTGCGAGGTGAAGCTGCTGAATGATGTGGGCTCGGTTCTGGGCGAGCTCTTTGAGGGCGTCCTGCCACAAGTGCGACCACTCGAGGCATCGGTATCCTGTTTTCTTGATTGACAATTGGCGATGCCGCACCCAGCAGCATTTCAAGCACTTTTCTTTCGAATCTCTGAATATAGAGCCGTTGGCCCCGGCCCATTTTCTTGGGCCATCCTCCAAATCACAGAGAAGGGGCGTTTCTCATGCCAACTTCATATGGCTATGAGTTTTAATAGAGAGCCACCTCAAAAGTGGCTGGTGGACATGACTCTGCACCTAAATGATGTCCACAATTTCGGGTCCCTTTTTAAAATTCAACCCTTTGACAAGAGTAGATGATGGTGAGGTGTTCATCTGAGGTTACAGCCCCTCTGCTCCATGGTTCCAATTTGCACCTCCATGTGCTGAACCAAACGGTTGCGCTCGCTCCCCCTCTCAGCGCGGCGCTTTTTTCTCTCCCGGCGTCTCCTCGTCAGGGCCTCATGGAGGTGAAGCAGCAGCTGCAGGGGGATCTGTTGATCCGCTCCATGCAGCGAAAGGAACGCGCTTCGCCTCGGTCGCGCCACCGCTTTGCCCGGCAAAAACGGGGGGGGGGGGGGGTTGACCCCATGACAGGGATTCAGCCCCATGTTTGCGGCCTAAGTGTTTTTTTCTTGGCGCCACACAGAGTTTGCAATTGTCTTGCGGAGTCTTCCACTTGGAACGCTCTACGTTTGAAATGTGGCTGTGGTACTATTTGGGGGTAGGTGCACCACACATTTTAGTCTATTTTAGAGGGGATTGGGATGTTCACTGGGGGCCAACCGGGATTTTGACCCATTGCCATGTGTCGCGCGAAGCCGTGCAGGAACAAGGCATTCCAATCTTCGTGTGCAGCGCTGACGAAGCCTGCAAGGCAGGGAGAGTGAGGTGTGGCTGAGGCAGCGCATTGGGCGCACAGGTGGTTTTATGGGTGTGGCTCAAAATTGAACAGGAGGGGTTACGCGTCCATGTTTCCACTTACCAGGGT